ATTGTGACGATATATAAAGAACCTTGTTTTAAATTTCGAAGCTATTTTACTCGACGAATAAGATTTTATTGTCTTTTATAAAAAAAAACTAAAAAGATTTAAAATTTAAAATRTCTATAAATAACTTAAAAATGTTTGAAAATTTTATCATGTATAGAAAATGTCAGTATACAAATTTAGTGAAAATTTCATGTGTCTACGATAATTTGTTTTAGAGTTACACTAATATCTAAAATCGATTTTCTCAAAAATAGATTTTGCGTAAAAAATCCTGTTTTTCCTTAATTTTTTCTTGGTTTTTCCAGGTATTTTTAAAAACTATTGGGAATTTAAATTTTACTTCCCCAACGCACCAATAAGATTCATTTTCCAACTGGAAAAGCTACTGAACTTGAAAATCGAAGCATTATTTTGACAACTTATCGTGTACACAGACACACAAAAATAAACAAACAACATTGTAAAATCAATATATCATTATTGCTCCGCTCAGAATCTAAAGTATTCTTGATATTTATTTGTTTCTTGTTTACAATTAATGTTTTCAAACAAGACATTACGATTTTTTGGCGTTAGTTGACATACAAATAATAATAATAATAATAACCATAATAGCAGTAACATTATCGTAAAACAATAGAAGAAAAAGTATTTTTGTAAGATAATTAAATACATTTGAACTTATAGAGATTAAAAAAAAAATTACTATTTCGATAATCGACAATCTATTTACAGCTGTGTTTTGCCCCTTCTAAAATCTCGAGACCGATTAGAACGACATTACGCGCACCTATCTATAATAATAATAATAATAATGTTAGTAGTTGTCCGCAGAACGTCGTCGCACTTGTAACCGCGTCGCGTGTGATCACAACATATTATTATCTTGTGAGTCCGATACAAGTATAATAAACTAAAGGTCCAAAGGTCCTGGTATATAACGAATCGTCGAGCTTACCGAAACGTCCATCTATTTTATTTYATTATATTTTATATAGATTCACTTATTTGGAAATCTACCGTCTGAAAATACGCGTGCGAGAAAAGTGCATTTTTATTGTTAATTATTACTTATTAAACATTATTACTGTCATAATAAATATTATTACATACTATAATATCATAATCACAGTCATTGTTGTACGTTTAATATAAATTACGTATTACTAATATAACAGTATCGCCTTACCTTCACATCAATATTTTGCATTTAACAAGCATCGTCCAATATGGCGTTAGGTATGTATATTGAATACATTTAAATATTTAATTACTATGGAAATATAGCAACACTCGGTACGGTCTATTTGTTGAATTATATTGTATACTTAGAAGTAGGACAGTGGACATTAAAACCATGTCTAAATTATCACCAAATATGCAAGAATATATGCAATTTTAATTTATTTGCGAGTGGCTCAATAWATTTATAAGTATTAAAAACTAGTTGATCCTGCATGGCGTCGAGTTGGACAGAGCAAATGTTTGAGAATTCCTGTGATAATGTTATGCTGTTGCACGTAAAATKTATTCCAATAACTCGATGATATGATGCATTTTAATGCATTCTAAAACTTCTGAAAATTTGMATGTGACCACTGGCCACGTATGTTTGATGATTACGACGTAATATTAAAAAAAAATAAAAAAATATAGGCTCATATTACTGAAATGTTTACATTAAATTCGTAATGTGTGAAAAATGCAGTAATTAGTTGATTAACTAATTATTGAATCACACGTCTACACTTCCACAGTTATTATTAAATAACTTGTGTTGTAAATTAAATAATAACAACATATTATA